TATTACTACTGAGGTTTAATTAATTAATTTATACTCCTGAGATTTAATTTCTTTGTATATTATGCAAATAGTGTTCTTCATCTTGAAAATGCTTGTTGTTTCCTTATTTGTCTATTAGATTCTTAGTCTTTTTAAAATTAATTTTGAGTTCTTTCACCATAACAGACAATAATCATTCTTCTGAGGCACGGATTATAGATACCTTCTTCCAGGCTGCTACTTGCTTTGGAAGTAGCAATGTTGTCCATGGCTCCACAGAGAAATATTTAATGCACGGAGTTAAAGTTACCAGTCTTTGTGTGTGTGTGTGTGTGTGCTGTATTGGTTGCTTTAAAAAAATCTTCTCTAGAGTAATATTATCAGCAATATTTTTCTATATCTCATACCCAGTGTTTTAGAGGATTTTCAAAACATTTCAATGTAAAATCCACTTGGACTTTATTTTTGTTCTTTTTCCCATATTCCATTTTGTTCACTATCTTTCCATAACACTTCATTTCTATTCTTCTGGATTTGGAGGTCAGAACTGTTCAACAATGTTAGTCTGTTAAGATACTGGATCTGCCATGTTTACCTAGATTTTAAAAATTTCTCCAAAATGATGTTGTTTATGGCTCCTGATTTTAATATTTGAGTTCTTTCTTATATTCTTAGTGCCTGTTGCTTCTTGGAATTGCCAGGCTTGGCCATCCCTGTGCAGAGTGGAAATGTAAAAGAGAAAATGTCATGCAAATTTAGTATTGAAGCAATTTCTCCTTGCTTTTCTCTTATTAGCAAGAATACCTTAGATCTTATTTTTTTTTTCATGGGCAGATGACTAAATGGAAGAATATACATTTATTACCCTCTCACTAAATTGATTCTTCTAACAATCCTCTGAAAGACCTATCACTATTCTCATTGTTTGGCCATATTTTAAGCCCAATTCCCCATGAATTAGTTGTTAGCATTTTTCTTTTTGTCAAACTCAAGAAAGCAAACCCATGAATAAGAAAAGTACAAAATGCAGTGGATTCCATTGAAAATGAGTTAGAAAAGAAGAAGCCTATTTTACTCTTGGGAAAAATCTTTAATGTTCTAAAATCTTTGACATCCATGATAATGCACAGCACTTAAATCAAAACTCAAAAGAAACTCATTTTTTCCCCAAATTATATGAAAATATTAATTTCAAAGACTAGTTTTAAAACATAATGAGCAACACAAATGGCTCTGATCCTTACAAGTTGATAAATATAAACAAATTTCCAAGGAATCAAACACTTGAGTAATTGGTTACTCAGTAAATTCATTGTATGAGACAGACTTTGAAGAAATAGTCGCTGTGGTATTGGTTTTCTTGTGGAGGTTGACTTTGGATAATTGCTTCCAAGGCATTGATGGTGTGACCCATGGGTCAGGTTTCCTCTGCAGGAGACCAGTACTCTCCTATTCCTCTGGTCTGCCCAGAGCCACGGTATTCCATTCTCTTACACACCTTTTCCCTGCTCATGCTTAAATTTGTATTTCATGTCTTTATGCTATTTGAGATAGTATTGACAAGTCTGGATCTTAAAAAATAGAATGGCCGTAATGCATCATTTTGATTCCAGAGCCCTAGCAAAAGGCAGTTAGAGATCCTTCTCTAGTTAAGCCCGTTTCATAGTAACACCCAGTCAGTCCAGTGCTTAGCAACCTTCTATCTGATATGAAAGATACATTGCTCTTTTTTATTTTATTTTTTTTAAAGAGAGAGTGAGAGAGGGGAGAGAGAAATTTTAATATTTTATTTTTTAGTTCTCGGCGGACACAACATCTTTGTTGGTATGTGGTGCTGGGGATCGAACCCGGGCCGCACGCATGCCAGATGAGCGCGCTAC